GTAGAGTAAAGCGAACATCACAAGCGTTTGACTCTGTCGAATCGATCAGGCTTTATTTGCTGTGTCATTGACTTTATTTGTAAATGAAACAGTCTTCACATAAGTATGCACTGGCGTTTAGTCACACTTCAAACTGGGCTTTCAGCATAATTTGACAGGACATACTGGTGTTTAGTGGTGAGGATCCTAATGAAAGTGGTTGATTTCATGGTCTACTTTTTTTCCTTCTTCAAGGATATCCGAATTACTTAACTCTCAGGGATATTCGGAAAGCGTGTATTCGCGGAAGATTGGTGCGGAAATAAACCACCGTCCTCTCTTTTTAAAATAAGTGAACAGCGAAAGTCACCTCACACAATTTTTCTTTTTTCAAGGATATCCGAATTACTGAACTCTCAGGGATATTCGAAAAGCGTGTATTCGCGGAAGTTTGGTGCGGAAATAAACCAACGTCCTCTCTTTGGAATAAGTGAACAGCGAAAGTCACCTCACACATTCCAAACTGTAACTGCCATAGTTTGTTCGCATTGCAGTCGATTTACCAATCATGCTGCGCACATCTTTCTCTAAATTTGGTCTACCATCAAGATGTCTCACCATGGATGCATCGACTTCAGGATAGTTAACCCACAGTATATTCCACACACCTCTTTCATGAACATCATGAAACCTGGTGATTTTTTCATCTGAATACCTCTTAGATGTGTATGTTATGTTTCGGCATGTTTATTTACATATATCCATATTGTACATACCGCAGTTAGTTACCCACTGTATCATATAGTATCCTTGAGGGGTAAAGTATTCCATGTTTTTTGTAAAATTCAACTTCTATTTCCACTAGCTTTTCATTACCAGCCTTCCCAGCAGAACTAAATTTGTCTGGGTTTTCGATAAAATACTGCGCAAGAAGTCGTCTGCTGCAGCACAACGTTAGCTTATTGTTCAGCCTTCAAGGTTTAAATTTCATTTCGTCATTTCCGATTGTTTCGGAACAGTCGAATACACCTTCTACGGGGAATTTTCTGAGGTGCTGATAAAAAAACAGACTTTAGTGATGTAGATGGTTAGTTTGCGTATCATTGCTTTGTCTGAAAAGTGCAGTTTGGCGAATGCAGTTGCATTTTCCGCAATTTCAAAGTGTAGGAATACACACCGCCGCTGGCCTGGCGCAAATAAATAACAACATCGTCAAATTCTGTTAGGTTTTCTGGACTTAATTGTCGGACCCCTACAAAAAACTCAAAGTAGAGTAAAGCGAACATCACAAGCGTTTGACTCTGTCGAATCGATCAGGCTTTATTTGCTGTGTCATTGACTTTATTTGTAAATGAAACAGTCTTCACATAAGTATGCACTGGCGTTTAGTCACACTTCAAACTGGGCTTTCAGCATAATTTGACAGGACATACTGGTGTTTAGTGGTGAGGATCCTAATGAAAGTGGTTGATTTCATGGTCTACGGGGTAGTTTGCAAGTAGCAACCAGGTGATTCCATTTTGATTACGCAATGTTGTGTTGACCTTTGACTATCATCACTCGCACAACTGGTCACCGAATCACAAACGAAAGTATCCAATGCAGTGATCAGTTACTCCAGAAATGTTCAGCCAGTCCTGTGTGAGAACGGGTCTGTTCACCCTATCCCAGGAGTGGAACTTCATCATCGATTAGGATTTTGACCACATTTTGACCATCAAAATGGCCTGAAATGCGTCGTAAATTTCTCTCAGAATTTCTGGTGGGGAGATCCTTTGCTTCGATGAGATTTTTACTTCCAAGTGTGGATTCCAGGACGCAGACGACACATGAATACCTTTGATGCAACTGAGAGCTGGTAGCCAAGATATGTTATAACCATGCTTTAATGTCACTGAGTACTGCTAACCAAATGTTAACATTCGAAGTTCAGTAATTGGCAATCTTTGAAAAACCCAACCACGACATGAATATTAGCGCTGCATCGCTGTGTCATATCAGGATACTGACCGTACTATTATTATTCCAGGTTGCGAAATGACCAGACGTAAATTGTTATCACCTGTGAAAACAACATAGTGGTTTTCATCGTTAACAGCAATGTGGCAATTCCCTAGGGCAAAAAACTGTGAGTTTTTCATCCACTATTCAAAATACGATAAAAAAAACTATGGTAGACGAGGCGCTGTCGGTTAACCGTGCATCAGTCAGGATTTGTTTTCCACCAATACTTCGTCTGAATTCTAGTCATTACATTACATTACAGCATTGAGACCCTCCAAACAAAAGGCTGCTCTACAAGCTAATTCATTATTTGAGCTCACTAGCGTTATCCACCTTCAGGAAATCGAAAAGCGTTATCTTTGAGGAGCTTTTTTCTGCTGGATATGAAGGGAAAACGTATCTTTGAACTTACAGGAAACACCTTGAACCCCCGGACCAAAATATTACTTGTTCTATCCCTATACACCCACATGTTGATTCGCCTTGGGACGAGAGTTCTCGATTGGCTCATTTTTCTTCTACAGCCCGATCGTGCACACAATATGAGATCTGGTGAAAATGCAAGCTCATGACTGAGCACTTATCCTATCACTTGCGAGGACTGGTGATTAGCTAGATAAATAATTCTAACCGGCGTCTGCCAACTGACACAATAATTCAGCGCCCGGTTAAGACTGAAAGATTCATGTGTGGACGGATAGTATGCTTGAAGCACCGTCAAAATTTATTTGCTTTTTGTTTGTGCTCTGACCTCATCTTAACTAAACTATGCTATTTATTACACCAGATCCCAATCCGACTAAGTACTGGGTTAGTTTCCTCACCTCTCCTGCTCTGCTGATTTTTCCCAGGAATCAGGATATTCAAATCTTATATTATCTCAGGATACTGCCAAGTTGTCAAGTTTTTTCCCATTTATCGACACGAATGTTCTTGTTCCTTTATCCCGTTCAACGCGAACATCGACTGGTGATTTGAATGGTGAACTGTTTAAATTTACGTTCCGCATTCATCACTACCGTTACTGTGCAAACCTGTCCCCCTACTGAGTACGCCTGTCTCCGTTCTGACAGAGTGTCCCCGTGTGTGGGGAGGACTAAGGAGAGATGACTTTACCTGGAATTGAACTCGGACAGCTGGGAAGGTTTATCAGCTCAACCCTACTTAGTCACGAGCTGTTCCAATCCGAATGAGTTTTTCTTGACTCGCACCTCTTTGCGTCCAGTTGTAGCACGGTCTGCGTACACCATGCGATGAGGCAGTAAGCGGTATGGAATATACTTTGAACTGACGCTTTACGGAGTCGTGGACACCCACTGACCGCCCTTTTTCCGTAGTCGATCTCTCTGTAAAGATTAGTTACTGTTCGTTTGTTTCCTTCTCCTGATTTGACGGCCGTCACGGAACATGCCTGTCCTCGGTTCCTTCTTTGTTGGTTCCAGAGGCCACCACCTTTTGAATTACTGCAGTTTATCACTGGTTCAGCAGTGTTCAGTGTGTTCAGCAGTATGCCTTGTCACCGTACATCCTCG